AGCGCATAGAAACATCTATTAACTGGATAACGAATGTAAAATACGATGGCAGATACGGAAGACACATCTATAACTGACAAGGATAATTCAAAGAGTAGGTGCATTTAGTTTTTTTCATATACACAATTATAAAATCGTAATTTTTCCGATGCCAGTTTGTATTCTGTTGAACGCTACTGGGAATGTTCCAATCATCAAAAAACGTAAATGGACCGTGGATCCCAATAAAACTGTCAGCTGGATACAAAAGTTTATACATCAGTACCTTAAACTAGATGCCAGCGAACAAATTGTAAGACCATGTAATATATGCATACCTACCTAGCCGCTCTATGACGTATTTTATCTTCCTAGTTCCTTTATGTGAATCAGACATTTGCACCTGCACCCGATCAAATTATCAAGAATCTTTACGAATGCCACGGAACTAATGGCAAGCTTGTGCTGTATTACTGCAAGAATCAAGCATGGGGTTGATAAGGTCAATCGGCTTCAGCTAGTCTGTAAAAATTAGATTTAAGTTAATATTACGTAGAATATTCGATTTATGATAGATTTTACGTATTTATATATGTATAGTATATAAAATTAATTCAATGCATAACTGAGCATTTAAAAAAGTTTTTTTTTTTATTTTAGAGCCACAAAATATTTTTATTTAAACTACAACTTTTACCCAATACATTGCTTAAAGTATTGACATTAATTAGCCATCTAATTAACTTCAAGCATTGTTCTATGCTTTTAATCGCCTCGTAGTGATTCCAAGTGATCAGCAGCGTCTTTTGAAATTCTATGGTATTTGGCGATGGCAGGGCGATAGTAGTAGGCTTTGTAATCACTGCGTTCAGCCATCTTGGCATGTATCTCTTTCTCAAGCCCTCTAAAAATTTAAGGGGAAATTATATACTGAAAACTACGTAGAAGTAATTATATTACCTCATGAGGGCCTTTTCGTTTTCCTCATAAATGTGATGCAAAGCTTTCTCGTATTCCTGCTGTGGGGAAGGATATATATAACGGGCGATGAAACGAGAAATCGGGTGCTGGAAGTAAACGGAAATACATTTTTACCTGCTTAAAAACAGTCTCAAGTTTACTTAATTAAGAAAATAAATATTTGTATGTAATTTTAGGAAAAAAAGCAAAGTTTGGAGGCATCAAATTTTTTTGCTGCTTAGTGCGATTCTTTGGTTGCAAATTTCAAGGGCTCATTTAATTGTCTGATCAACCAACCTTATGATATTCCCAATGTTTTGGTTCGTAGCCTTCCGGAATTTCGGTCAATTGGGCTGGGCCAATGAAAATATTGGCATAGAGCACAATCGCAGTAATAGGTATCAAACCTATCATTACGTAGAAGTGCAACAAATCCTTAAATTTATTCCACTGAAAACGAGAAGGTTGAATTGTAAATTGGTGATGGTCATGACCAGAGTTGCGTATCTGCATCTGTACCGCTAGAATAAAGCAAAGATATCCATTAAAAATCGGTCTGCATTTGTGAATTATATTTCTGGGTTGCGTAATGTGATTGACAATAGACATCACACATCCTTTCTATGTTAGCCTACCTTTCCTGCACACTGGAGATTGAAGAACATTACGATACTGCGCCAAACTCGTCAAAGGACGTGAAAAGCTGCTCCAAGAGACCATTTTCGTACCCAATACCAACTAAAGAAGTGTCGAAGGCAAAAACGCAATGTGCGAGGAATAAAAATATTTAGCAGGTGGAGTAGGGGGGAACGGGTGTGAGAAATGTTACTGTCAGAGTTTGACAGCACCAAGGTCGATAACGCGGTTTCTTAAACGAAAAACGAACAAGACTTTTGGTTGATGACAGAAAAATACTCTTTTTCGTGGCAGAGATTTTTCCGGACGTGCTTATCGTTTTAGCTGTGACTTATAAAGTGTATATTTATTGGTAAAAAATATTATAAACCTAAAATATGTACGGTGGTGAAGATTATGGAACCGTTGTAAGTGCATATAATTTTTGAAACTAAACTTGGCAAGGGCTTTGAATTATATGGTTGACATAACCAAACTTTCTGGCCAAAGTGACAACAATGCTGCATGAATATTTGACCACATACGATTCTCTGTAATTTGCAGGACTACTACGATGATTACGGTCACACCGGTGACCCGCAACTGGATTTGGAGTACGAGCGTAATTACTATGCCAGCCGAATGCCTGACAACGTGAAGTATTTCCTGCAGAACTTCTGCCAAGCCATTAAGGAGGGCGTCCTTTTCGACATTCAGAATATGTACGAGAACACCTTTCCACAAATCAGTGATCATCATTTTGATAAGAGTGCTTGGCCTGATGAGCAAGAAGTATCTGCAATTGTAGATAATGATAAAGTATTTCTGATTTTGTATAAGGAATTATACTATCGCCATATTCATGCACGCATACCAGGTGGCCCTAAATTGGATCAACGCATCAATTCATTTTTCAACTATTGTGACTTCTTTAATTTAATAATTTCATCCCAGAATCCTGTCTCTTTAGAATTGCCTGATATCTGGCTGTGGGAACTGGTCGATGAATTTGTTTACCAATTTCAGAATTTTGCTCAATACAGGTAAGTAAATTGTAAGCACGTGTTGTCGGAAATTACCAAAATAATTTCATAGGGCTCGCCTGACTGATAAAACACAGGAAGAAATCCAACAACTTTGCGTTAATCACAGTAACGTTTGGAGCATACTTTGTATTTTGAATGTTCTGCATTCTCTTGTGGATATTTCCAATATCAAGAAGCAACTGGAAGCAATTTCTCAGGGTAACGATCCTCAAGGCGTTGCCGGTGAGTTTGGAGAATTGTCATTTTACAAGATGTTGGGGTACTTCTCTCTCGTTGGCTTGCTGCGCGTGCATTCGCTGTTGGGTGATTATTATCAAGCCATAAAAGTATTGGAACCAATTGAAATTCACAAGAAATCACAATATTCGCACATACCCGCCTGCCAAATTTCAACTTCTTATTACGTTGGATTCGCATATATGATGATGCGACGTTATGCTGATGCTATTCGAACCTTTTCTGAAATTCTGCTCTACATTCAACGCACCAAGCAGCTGTATAGCACACGTTCTTACCAAAACGATCAAATCAACAAGCAAGCTGAACAGATGTACCACCTGCTGGCGATCTGTCTAGTGCTACACCCACAATGCATCGATGAATCTATTCAACAGGTTCTACGTGAAAAAAACTACCATGATGCCATGTTCAAAATGCAGTGTGGCGATTTGGAAGTATTCAAGTCATTCTTCATCTTCGCTTGTCCACGATTTGTAAGCCCATGCCCCCCTGCCGCCGATGCACCATTGGAAGATTATGTAAAAGACCCAATGGAACACCAGTTGATGGTGTTTATGGATGAAGTGCGTCAGCAAAAGGATTTGCCTACAACTCGTTCGTATCTTAAGTTATATACAACATTACCGTTGGCCAAATTGGCCTCGTTTATCGATCCTAATGCTAATGAAGATGATATTACGAAGCTACTTATTCGCCTACTTTGTTTCAAACATAAAATGCGAAATTTAGTTTGGACTAAAGGATCTAGTGGCCTAGAAGGCAATTTTAAATCTGGCTCCGAGGTAAGTTTTGTACACTTTAATTTGTGGAACTGATTTAAAAAAAAAAAATTATTTATGTAATTTCAGTTGGACTTCTATATTGATGATGACATGATTCATATTGCCGATACAAAGGTTTCGCACCGTTATGGCGACTTCTTTGTGCGGAAAATAATGAAGTTCAATGACCTTAACCGCAAATTAAAGAATATACACATTTGAGCAGAGCCTCAGCATATTTCTCGTAATTCGCAATGTTTATTTAAACAAAATGCGCATAAGTGAACATAATTTTGTAATTCAAACCCCTGTAACTGGCACTTTTATGGAAAATAAATAGGCGTTAAGCCTGCAGAAGAGCCGATTTTATATATGCAATTTCTATGGTTAATTGAAAACTTTACCAAAAAGGACAAAAACAATTATCCGTTTGCTAAGTTAAGTTTTTTATTTAAATTAATATGATTTTAAACTTTCATACACTATAAGGATAGGTTCAATCTCTGATTTTTCAGGTGATTTGCGTATAAAATATGTTACATTTACGAAATATTCCATTTCTTGAGGCAATTTTAAAACATCTGTCAAAATTTTAACGTTTCGGTCTAACAGACATAGCCTGTATTCTTCTTTAACAACTGACTAAAACTGATCGTTTATCATTGTTAACTTTTACGTTTTAATGTCTCAATTGTATGTTGCTTAACGCATTAGGTGTGCTGTATGATGTGTTCAAATAATATTTTTTTATTAATGTTTAAACTGCATAGTGGTTAAGAAAATTGTCTTCAATTGATTTTTCCAATAGCCGCCGTACAATTTTGGACAGTTCACTATACGCATAACATAAATATGTAAAAAAAAAAACATTAATTAAGAGTAGCTTAGAAATATACTCTTATTATTATTTTTTTTTTTTTGTAAAGGTGACGCAATTAGAAAGTTTGCATGAAGTTCTTTGGTTAAAATGATATAAAATGGTACGTAATTGTATTTGAAATGATAAATTTACATCAAATAAAATTTTAGATATTGTACACATAAACATACACTAAGAGTAAATGATACTCCTTGTAGCCAAGGCGTTTTTTGTTACAATTGTTATGTGAAAATCTTCGCCTCTAATGATACATTAAAATATTCTTAGATTCCGACAATATGTGAATGTAGCATTCAGCGTAACAATCAATGATATGCACACACACTAAATGCTCGTGTTGTGCTTAAATGGATTTTTGTTTTTTAATTTATCTTAACATATTTTTAAGTTATAAACTAAGTATGACGAAATCTTATTTCAAATTTTAGTATATAATACAAATTTTTGCACCGACACACTTAAAGTCTGGGCTATTTGTTAAACCTACACTAAAATGCACAGTTTAATTAATTTTTGTGCGTTGTGCACCATTGCAATCCTAAACTCAACCGATGGGTGTTTGACGTTGGTTGACGTCAATCAGATATATGTCTTTGTGGTTCTGCAGTACGAAATCGATGAAGGCATTAATCGGCCGGATATCCTCTAAGGTGGTGTTGCTTCTGTTCGACCATAGAAAGTTTGGGCCGAACACAATCGCCAAATTCGAAGAGGTCATTTTATTTAAATCTTCACATTCCATGACCTGTAAAAATGTTGAAAGCAAAAACAAAATTGGAGTTGCATTGACGGATCAATGTTCGTTCACTACATCAAACTCACTCGAACGAGAAACTCTACTAAGTACTTGAAAAGCTCATAGTTTTCTTCAGGTAACTTTTCCCTAATTAATTGTGTTACATTACGTGAGCGCTCCTCCTTGGGCCAATCTAAAAATTAAAATGTATGAAGAGTTACCAAAGCTTCCGAGTTATTGTCACACATTTCACATACCTAAGAAACTCGTGATGTCATCGTATAGTTCGAAAGTTAACAGCGGTTCGCTGAGATCACGCAGGAAACTTTTGAGTAAGCCAGCAATTACGTGTACATTGACATTTGATAAATCAACATCTTCGCCGCGATTTACTCGCTCTTTTAATGCAATTATTTCGGTATGATTGCCAGAACGACGAAATATACCCTCCGTGTCTATCATGCCGGTAATGGACAGTGAATCTACGCATTTGCGTACTATTGGTGGTATGGAGTTTAAACATGGACTGTTAGATACAATGAATTTAAGTGGTGCGCCAAACTGTACAGTGTTGGCCATTTGTTTTACTGTACTGCTGCTTCCACTACCGTATCCGTATCCGTATCCAAAGGGGCCAGTATATCCTCTCCCACGAAGATTTAACTGTTCATCAAAATCACACACGCTATCGGGTACTTTTATCTTGGAGAGTCCCAAAGCCTGGCGTAATTCATCCAAACTGGAGATGTACACGAGCTTTTGACGAAACTTATCGCTGATGAATGGACTGAAGAATTTCCAGACAAAACGTATGAAAAGCGTGGGATGGACCACGTATAGATTTTTCAGATTCTTGCGAAAATTGCGGTCCAATTCTTTATATGAATTCCACAGCAATTGTGCTGATGGCTTACTATGCTCCCTTAAGCCTTGATGAAAGTACACAAGAATGTAATCATTCTCTACAAATGGTTCAATTTCTTTTATAACATCACTGAAAATATAATTTGTTTATTAAGCCAAATATTCATTTGAATAAGATCGAAAGTTTGAATTAATATACCAGATGAATTTTTCCATTTGTGATTTCTCTGGAAATCGTGATGCATAAATTGCAAATATGTGTCTACCCTGCTTGTCTGTGCCGAGAAAGTCGCACTTAGGTTTAACGCCCACAATACTTTCCGCCTGCTCCTAAAGTTTTTGACAATTTTTATTCACTTGTATTTAACATTAACATTAGGTGCATTCTTTTGCAACCGAGCTACAAAAGACCACTCGCTTAAATGACGAAATACACGCAAAGCAACAACACAAAGTCGGCTATTTATCCGAGCTCAGCCAGGTCGGTTAAAAATACGCGACCTGAAGGGCAGTGTTGTTAAGTAAAGTGGAGGGGGAAATTTTCGTTTCCTTATATACGTGACTCAAATTTTAAATAAGTATATATATTACGCAAATACCCCGCATAATTACTCATTTAAATTGGCTTTTGTATCTAAATCCCGTTAAACTAATCACATGTTTCTTACCAGCCACCAACAGGGTTGCTTAAGTAACTAAAAGGAAATTTTACGCGAGTTGAGCGTTCTTTTGTCGCTCGCTTACAAAAAAATGCATCTATTATAAAGTTCAACCAACCTCGCCCAATTGATCCTCGAAATCGTCTTCCAATGGATTTACTATTTCCGCAGACTCGATCTCTTCATCTAAAAATATAAATAACAGTTTTCATAGTCATATATATGTACATTTACAAATTAGTATATCAACACCTCATTTACCCACCTTCAGCTAAAACAAAGTCGTCAACCATAACATCTTCTGGAATGCAAGTAATTGTAAAATTAAGATTATTAAACAAAAGGGTTTAATTTTAAATGAAATTACTTACTTTGCAATGGTGCTGAGGATAGTAGTTCTGTATCATCGAATTCCAACTTAGGTTCAAAATCATGCAAATCTGACAAACTGGGCTGCGGTTCATCTGAATTTTCGACCACTGAGTTTATTGCCGGTCCTATAGCGAAAAAAACGTATTATTTCTATAAATAAATATTTATAATTAAATGACATAGTAATCTTACAATTAATTTTAGCCTTTAAGCGGCAAAGTTTTATTTTGGTGATTAATCAGTGAAGAAAAAGTCATTAATTTAATAGAAATCTCAAGTAGTTGTGTTTTTACTATTTTTTTTTTTATAAAATACAGAAATACCTATAAGAGTGATAGTATGTACACTAGAAAAACAGACATTTACAGTTCAATAAGATACCCTGCAAACCAAAGTTCCCGAAATCTTAACGAAATCTTTAGGAGTATCTTATTTCTGTAACGATTTTTTTACGAATCTTCAAAGAATATTATATGAAGTGGTGGCCACGAGCTCGTAAAGAAATTTCTGTACGAAAAATAAAGAAAATTCCGAAAAGCTTCTGCAAGAAATTCTTCACATAGCAGCATTATTTTCATTTCTTCGAAGTGTGTGTGAGATCTTTACGAATTCCTTAAAATTTCTCTACAATTCAGAATACTCTGAAAAAATGGTTTGCAGGGTACGTAAATTTAAGTAAGTATGTGTGTGCAGAAAGGCAGTAAAAAGTTAACATGCTACCAACATTCATAAGCATCGCTATTATGACTTCACACCTTTGCAACATGTACATAAGTATGTAGGGCGCGTTCAGAAATGCATCAAGCCAAAGCATCAGTCTCTTTTATTTCTAAACTATAATTGATAGAAATGTCAAATATGCGCAACCACGGTTATAAACCGAATAGCAACTTAGTTGCATAAATAAGACATTTCCATCAATTATAGTTTAGAAATAAAAGAGACTGATGCTTTGGCTTGATGCATTTCTAAACGCACACGTAGGTATTAATTAAACATACATCTATAGAAAGGATGCATTAGCTAATTAATCCATAAGCGGGTGCACAGTTAGTAAACGTAAAGGTGCGCTTTGAAAACAATAAACCATGATTATTGAGGTAGGCTTCTGATAAGAATTTTATCACAAATGATTTATCAGCTTATTACTCATCTAGATGTTTTTTAATACTTTACAACTTTCTAAAGGTCAACATAATTTAAGCAAAAACGCGAATAATGGGCATGCAAAATAACTACTGGTGTACATAATTATACACCTTTAAGGTAGCTGTAAATGAGTCTAATATAGAGCAAAGCATTAAATATACAATTATCATGCTCCACCATCAGCGTATACTTCTATGGAAACTAAAGTACTCACCAGGAAGACGAGAAGTGATACGCTCATTTCCTATCGTGCGATCCATTGCCTTAGGCTTGGTGATATCGATATTATGTGTATATGTCCGTCAAATATTTAGTAGCGCTCCAGTTGCTATTGTTTTTTTTATCTGCTTTCACTATTTTAGAACTGTAAATAAAAAGTTTGCTATTAATAAATTAGAATAAACAAGCATGGAACATATGTCAGTTGCAAAAATGCGTTACAAACAGCAGTTTGTATACAGATATTGGCAAGACCGAGTATGCAACAACATTCATATGAACATATGTATATAAATATATGTATATCTACATATATTCCTATATGTAGCAGCTTATTTTGTATTACTTGTATTTAGCGAGCGATTGCGTGAGGGATGTGAATTGAGTCAGAGGTACATATGTACATATCCAAAGCTTATATAGATAACCACTCTTTTAACTCTTATTAATTTACTTCTTTAAATCAATGACGTCATGCTAAGAAGCGGAGGGGAACATAGATTCCAACCCAGCGTTATTTCTACGTATGTACATCTCTAAACTCCACTTTGATTTAAATCAATTGACTTATGTATGTATTTACTATTTGGAAATAGTGTAGGCAAGAAGATAACCTTTTTTCCAGTTGATTAAACATTACTTGGCCTTTCCACTTGTGGTTGAAATGACCTTTACGCCATCAAAGTGACTGAGTACGCAGTTTCATGGCTATGGTTTTATGATTTTTATAAATGCAGTTTGCTTATCAACTTTTGTTGTATATCTGTATTTGAGTTCGTGTTTTTTCTGGAATTGGGCGTTTATATTTGTGTTGGTTTTTCGCCCCGAGCACCTAAAACGTTGATACTAACATAACACCATTGTTTGAACTTTGCATTTA